AGATGAGGGACTGCATATGGGTACGGAAACCAGGAAGATGTTCTGGTACCGGACAGTTGTGGAAGTTGCACAGCATTGCAAGTGTACTTGATGCCACTGACCATCACAAAAAACTAACTCTGAAATTACATTTAAAATTAATATATTTGCAGAGAACTGGGAATTAAAGGTACGAGGGAATACAACAGGAAGTGCAACAGCCGGGGCGCAGAAGAGTGGATATGTGTCAGGAGCTGGCCACAGGGGGCAGTCAGGAGGTGACACCCGCTGTGAATTGAGGGACCCCAGGTGTGGAACTGGTGGAGCAGTGGTTCCTGCAGCTGGTTCTCATTTCAGTGCTGCAGCTGGTGAGGGAGCTGAAGGTAGAGGCGGCACTGGCTCTGCAGGTGGTACTCGAGTTTGGGCCGCAGCTGGCCCTGCAGCCAGAAGAAGAGAAAACACCGACTGTCCATGTTCCTCCCACGAGGCAGCTCTGTCTGCCAGCCCATCCCAGGAAGTCTTCCCAGGTGCATCCACCCACGGACTACTGAGTCTCGGGCTGTTCCCGGGCCAACGGAGCAGGTGGGAGCCCTTTCTGCGTGCCCAGCCCCATCCTATCCCATGTACCCACGGGCACATAGCCCGGTCCTATCACCCTTACTCTCTTCCTCAGCGGGCTTGGGGATGCTGCAATGGAGTCAGTGGGCTGGGAGGTCCATCCTGGACGTGCATCTCTAGCCAGGAGTCGAGGAGGAAGGACACGGCCCTGGGAAAAGACAAATGGGTATCTTTTGATGAATGGTGTGAGCACCTCTCCCTTCTTCAGGGAAGCGGGGCACCCGTCGCTGTGCGTGTGCCTCCTGTTGCCATGTGGCCTCTGTTCAGAAAAGGGGAGGTGTCTGTGGTGGCATTGGCTTTGTGGGAACAGGGCACATGCTGCAAGCAGGTCTGAGAAGTGAGAGCTAAGGGAGAGAGGGTCCTCCCCAGCTCTCCCTCATTTTTTGGCTCTTTTCTCTGCCCGGTTCTCTGTCCTCTGGGTTCCTTTCCTCCATACTTGCTCATGTCTCAGGAGGCCAGGAGACTGTCCCGTTCACCACTCTGTGAACATGGTCTGCTTGCTCTTCTGTCTAAGGTGACTGTTTAGCCCCCTAGTGGCATAGAAGCCCCCTTGGTCACTGGGTCATGGTCAGTGCCTAGATAAGGGTTTGCACATAGTGGGGCTTCAGGCATATGCTGGGAAGAAAGACACACAGCAGCTTCCTCTAAGGTATCAGAGTGGGCCTGATCCCTCTGCCATCCCGTAGGGTCTCCTGCACTGTATGAACCCTGTGGAGTGAGTCTCTGATCTCCTTTACAACGGAGAGGATAGCTTTGTCCAAGTGCAGGATTCAGTGAGGGGGAGACAAAGCTTCCCTTTAGGGAAGGAAAATCATCAGTGAGAATAAGCACAGCCATTGCAGCAGGTCTTCAACAGGACCAAGGTCAGGGCCAGCGCTTGCCTTGGAGACCCCACTTCCTCCTGCAGTGACCCCGTGGGCTTGGCCTATGAGCACTGCACTGTTCAGAGACACACACAGAGGCAGAGGGAGGCACAGGAACATCCGCAGGACTCAGAGCTGCAGAGGGCGACACTTACCTTCCCATCATTCTGGCCTGTTGGGCATAGGTGCAGGCCCTGGTGGATCGCAGGAAGGAGGAACCGAGGAAGGGTTGGCTGCCTGGGAAAGCTGGCACCAGCTGCTCTGAGAGGGAATGTAATGTGACCACCTGCACTGGCCAGACTTGGGCGAGGCTCCCAGCTGAGTGATTTTCAAGCTGTGGTGCAAGAGTGGAGTCAGTGGCCAAACCATGAGCCAACAGGAGGGTTGCAGGGTGAAGCTCCCCCAAACTGCATATTAGTTAGTGACTTTTGCCTCAACACAGACAGGAGAGCCTCAGCACAAATGTCGTTTTCCCAGTAAAAGGTTCAATTTCAGAAGGGACTTGGGAGACATATTAGCATGTCTGGGCCACTTTCGTAGCCACAGAGAGGCGGTAACTGCCTGCCTAAAGGGCATTAATCTGTGTTAGCCAAGACAGAGTCCCTTTGTAGAGGTGAGAACCCAGAAGCTTGGCTCGTTTCTGTGGGTGGGTCCTTAAGTGAAACACCCAGGATGTTTCCTGGGGTGCCATTGAAATGGCCCCAGGAAGGAATCAAGTCTAGGTCCCCTAGCACGAAGACCTGAATGGTCATGGTCACCACCTCTCCTCTGCAATGTGGTTCAAGTCAGAGACCCAGCTCCTGACCTGTCGGACCCACAGTATTGGTCTTTGACACAGCAAGTGACAGAGAAATAGACAGAATAGGAAGAAGTCCTGATGTGTTTGGTGAACACAGCTCTGGAAATCTCATGATGAATAAGCATTGGAGAAGGAGTGGAAGGACAGTCAGGCCAGTGGCACACGGACACCGAGGTGCAGGAGTTAAAAGGATGTGAAGTGGCAGAACACAAATCATCCCAAGAAGTACAGTGGCAGAGTATCAAAGTCCCTTCTCCCATGATCTCAAAAACATATGGACAGTGACCTTGCCCCAGGAGGGGCTGGGGAGAGAAGAATTTCACGTGGGAGGACATGAAGCCCAGATTTCTGTGGGGTTGCTGTCTACCCATGCCTGGAATGAGGTGTTGGCCCTGGTGTGCAGTCCCAGGGTGTTTGTGGTTCTTCTCCAAAGCCCCAGTGGGAGTCTCCTCTATTCCCACCCTGACCCATGGTGAGCTGGCACTTGTTGCATTGTAGAGCCCAAAAGTCTTGTGTAAGAAACTGGCATGAAAGCCTCCAGTGATATGTAGATGTGTGTAGACAGTGTCCATTCGCCAGCAGCAGGCATCAACACCTGCCAGCCCATCACTGGGGATGCTTAAGACCCTGGAGACCTTTTGTATTCCACATCACACATGTACCTGTGTTACAGGATTCTACTCTGGTAGGAGAGAAAATGACTCCGGGGGCTGTGGAGTAACACTGTACCCTGGAGCTGCCGACCTGCCCGCCCTCTCCTGGGTGAGAATGTAACAGAGCAGCAAGCACACAACATCTCAGCAGCTACTCCTGCCAGGAGGACTAACCCTTATGACCAAAGTCCTCGCACACCCAGAAAGAAGTGCTAGACTTGTGCAGGAAACTCACAGTGGTGCTGAGGCCAGGCTGGACATGAGTAGGGCTTCCTGGTGTTTCTTGGTGGCTGGTGGACAGGCCTCGAAAGACCTCGCTTGGGTTCCTTACTGTCTCCGCGCATGACATTGCCAGCTCAGAGATCTCTTCTGGCCTTCTTTTGGCTTTCAATGGCCTAGAGACGAACTCTGGGAAGAACCCCTCAGGAATGCCCTCTTTTGGGCCCGTAGGTGTTTGTCGGGGCTCCATGGCCAAGCCTAGGAAGCTCTCCTCTGGAAGAACTTCCCCTGGGCATCCAGGTCTTTGTGGGTTTGTCATGCCCAGGCCCGGGAAAATGTCCTGTGGGACGACCTCTCCTGCGCTCCTGTGCCTTTCTGGGTTTCTCATGCCCAGGCCCAGGAAAATGTCCTCTGGGAAGACCTCTCCTGGGCTGCTGGGTCTTTGTTGGTATCTGATGCCCAGGCCCAGGAAAATGTCCTCTGGGAAGACCTCTCCTGGGCTCCTGGGTCTTTGTTGGTATCTCATGCCCAGGCCCGGGAAAATGTCCTCTGGGAAGACCTCTCCTGGGCTCCTGGGCCTTGGTTGGTATCGCACGCCCAGGCCCGGGAAAATATCCTCTGGGACGACCTCTCCTGGGCTGCTGGGTCTTTATTGGTGTCTCATGCCCAGGCCCGGCAAAATGTCCTCTGGGAAGACCTCTCCTGGGCTACTGGGTCTTTGTGGGGGCCTAGTGCATTGGCTAGGGCAAATCTCCCATGGGAAGACCTCCTCTGGGCTCCTAGGTCTTTGTAGGCGACCCGTGGCGGTGCCGGGACAGATCTCCTGTGGGAAGATCTCCCGTTCTCTGGGAAGGCCCCTAGGTATTTGTGGATCTGATCTGACCAGGCCAGGAAAGATCTCCCGTGGGTAGCCCTCCCCCACTGTCCTCAGTGACTCTGGGCTACTGTTGCCTGGTCCGTCAGTTTCACACCTGGGGCCTCTTGCAGTTTCTGGGCTTCTGGTTGTCAGGCATGGGGAGACCTGCCCAGAGCTAGGTGGTATCTCTGAGCACTGGGTGGCTGGGCCTGGAGAGACCTGCCTTGGTCTCCTTGGTGTCTTTGTGTCCTGACGAATTGGGCCTAAGGAGACTTTTCTCGGGTTCCCCAGTGTTTCCCTGTGACTGGCGTTCAGGCCTGAGGAGACCTGTCCTGGGATCTTTGCTGGACTTTGGTACCTGGTGGCAGATCCCTGACAGATCTTCCCTAGGTCCCTTGGGGCCTTTTGGTGCTTAGAAGCTGGGTCTAAGGAGACCTCTTGGCACTTTAGTGTCTCAGGGTACTTCATGCCAGGGCCTGGGGAGACATTTCCTGGGCTTTTTGGGACCTTCCTGATTAGGGCAGGTGAGCCCAGGCTCCTTGGTGGCTCATGGCTCATGGTGGTCACCCCTGGGGAGATCTGGCCTGGGTTTTCCGTGATGATTGAGCGGCTCCTGCGGTGTGGCCTGAGATGACTGGGTGGAGTTAACCATTTTCTCAGTCTTTGAAAGAAACTTTCTCTGCCTGAAGTCTTCTGGCTCTTGCCTTGAGAAGTTGAGAAGCAGTTCAGCATACTTGCTGTTCACCGTCTCTGGACAAGTGAGCTCAGGACGTAACCGTCACTCTATTGTGACTCGTGTTCACGAGGGTTCCATGTCCTGTTTGGACAGGTTGCCAAGGAAACAAGGTCATGTCTTGTGCCTACAACCAGAGCACTTCCTCTGAGGAGAAGACCCGATGGCCCAGCTTCATGTTCATAGTGAAATAAATCAGTGGCCCTTCCCTTAGCACTGTTACTGTTTTTATCTAGGCATCTGTCTATCTAGGATGTACATTTGCAGTACTGAGCATTGAGCCCACTGTGCTCGTGCTGAACTCTATTACATCCCCAGTCTATCTTTTTTCCAGACACTCGTTAAGGGTCTCACTAAATCATTTAATGGAGCCTGTTACAGGTTTGGTCGCACACACCTGGGATCTCAGCACTGGGGAGGCTGAGGCAGGAAGTTCACCATGAGTTTGAGGTGAGAGATGAAAGAAAGAAAGAAAAAGAAGACAAACCTTAATTGAGCATGATGGGCTCCATCTTTTGATTTTCCTGCCTCAGACCCCCAGAATGCTGGAATTACTGCCTGATTCAGTGTGCTACTGGGAAACAGCAGAAGAAAAACTAAACAAGTTTCTCTGATTTGAGGCCCTGGTGCCATTTTCACTTCTAAGGCAGCATATATACAGAGAGACTTTGTATGTAGCAGGCCCAGTACTAAAGGGTCTTTTCCGTGTGTTCTCTGAATGTGAGGTGCTGGCATTCACATATAGAAAGCTGGGGAATGTCAGGATGCTTCTGTTATCTGGCTTGATGATATCATTGTCATTGAATTGGGGAGTGTGGAGACCCTCCAAAAATTTGCACAACAGTTTTACTTCAGGGATAGAAATGTTGATTTCAGATCATAACATCTTAGGTTGTGGTGGGTGGTCCATGGTAGGTTGTAGGTTTTTGAAGCATAGAAATGATTAATTATTCCTACTTAGCTATTAAACTCCATGGGAAAGTGTAGTATTCAGTACTGGAATATCAAGTGAGGTGGGATGGGCTGCAGACTGTAGGGCAGTAGTCTTTGTAGGTCGTAGAAGGCATCACCCCAGTAGTGATGATGGACCCATACACACCTACATCACTTTGATACTTTCCTTGTGGCCACTTCAATGGCCTGCTATCCTCTCATCCCAAGCAGCCCATGTGTCTCCTATCCCGGGTTGACAGCTTGTAGCATTTGGTGTTGTCTTGGTTTTACTTGGTTTTATTTTTCGGTCCAGTTTATTTGGTCAGTATAACCATGTTTGTGTTTGTGCGTGCTGTTCCTTGTCAGAGGCTCATCCATCGCATGCCATCATGCGCATGAACCACAGATGGTTCACATGCCCATGTGCTGAGGGCTGTATGTGTGCTTTCCAGTTTTGACTGTGATAAACAAAGCTGCTATGACCATTCCTGTACTGATGTTTGCATGGATATGGGGAAAATACCTCAGTGTGAAATTGCTGGGTCACAGGGCTGGTACATGCTGAATCTTTGCTGTCCCAGAGGCTAACCTGGATGGGCAGTCTCTATTTGGCCAGAAAGCTTTTAATCTTCTACAAGGTAACCAGTTTTTCCCACACCTTTACCATTATGAAATTACTTGACCTATGACTTAGATGAAAAATGACATCTGTACAACAGATCAAATGCTTACGATGTATCAGGAACTGTTTATATTCTCAAAATAAAGCAGAAATGGATATAGTCTGTATGATGAAAAGTTTCTTTTTTTTTTTTTTTTTTTAAATTGCAGTGCTGGGGATTGAAAGCAGGGATTGCCTCACACAGGCTTGACAAGTGCACTACCTCCCCAGCCCCTACAAGACTTCAGGTGGACTTAAAAGAACCGAGTACATAAAAACACATTGAGGAGAATGTCAGAAAGATGGTACTTGCTAGCAACTCAAATAATAGAAAAGTATAAGTACAACACTACAAAAGCATAAGGAATTATTTTTGTTTTTTTGGAAAAGGGAGACAACTTGACAAAATGTTATTTGAAATAACAAATGGCTATGAGCTATGAACACCTTGGGAAAAAACAGGTAGGATAGCAATATTTCCTCTGCCAATCTTTAAAAACATCTATAAAAACAGCAATTAAGTCAGTATAATATTGGTACGACACCAAGAATCAAACTCTAATTACTGTAAGTATGTATGCTATACCTATGAGCAGTGATATTACTTAATACACACATACCTGTTACTGTTGCTTCCTAGTATAGCTCTCAGAATTTATAGATTATATTAAATAATAAGACTTTTTTGCTGGGCGTGGTGGGCGGCACACACCTGCAATCCTAGCACTGAGGAGGCTGAGGCAGGAAGATTTCTGAGTTCAAGACCAGCCTGGGCTACGCAGTTGAGTTCCACGTCAGTCTGAACTACATAGTGAGACCATTTCAAAAAAACAAAAAAATAATAAAACTTTTATGGAAACAAAGTCTTTGTAAATAGGGAAGGGTGCAGGGGGTGAAGTCAGGGCAGGGGGATGGGAACAAAATAAGAACCAAGATCTGTTATGTAAAGGTACAAGATCCCAATGATGAATGTAACTGTACTGTTTTCCTAAAAAGTACCAATAAACTTAATGGAAACAAACCACCAAAACTTGGCTGCTTTGACCATGCTTGTTTGAATATAATTTTACCAGCATATACCTCACGCAGGGATCCAAGAGTCACAAAGTTAGTTCCATGCATCCAGGGTTAACTTGGCAAGGGGGAAGAAAAATTCCACACTGGTCACAGAGAAGGGGGTTACTGGGAATAACAACAAAACTCTTTGATACTGTATTTATAGTAATATGCTTTTATAATCTACCAACACGTGTAAAAATGTAAAATAGTAAGAGGTGGTAATGTAGCCAGGTTTGACTGCTAGTGGAGTCAAAAAAGAAAAAATAAATCAAGAGCTGGCACTGGTCTATAGTCTCAGCTACAGAGGAATCAAAGATCATTTGAGGCCGGGGGTAAAAAGGGAGAGCTCATCTTTTAGAAGGACCAAAATGGGGTCTGGGGATTTAGCTCAATGTTCTGCTACTTGCCTTGCAAGCCCAAGCACACTTGGTTTGATCCCTGGTACCAAAAAAAAACAAACAAAAAAAAAACCAAACCAAAAATACAACAAAAAAAATTTCCTTAACTACGTGACAAACCAGCTACTATGTCTAACTTCAAAATATTTCTTCTCAATGGAGGACAATTTAGGGATTTATATTTTGTTTTGTTTTGTTGTTTGAGACAAGGTCTCACAATGTAGTTGAAACTGACCTGGAACTATGTAGCCCAGGCTGGTCTCAAACTCAGAGCAATGATCCTGCCTCAGCCTCCAAAGTGCTAGGATTACAGGCATGCGCTGCCACGCCCAGCTTAGGCATGTATGTTCTTGAAATACCCAGGTAGACTGAGATGAAAAGACATTCTGCAAATTCTATCTCACTGATGCTAAGATGAGTGATTAGTATTGGAAGGGGGGAAAAATCCCAGATTCAAAAAATTGAACAAAAGCAGTACTTTTTTATGAGGTCTTTAATAAGCTATTGTTCTTATATGTATACTAGTAGTAGTAAAAAGACAAATATTTGCTACCAAAAGTTAAATACTGTATACAACCTATGAAAAATATAATTTTACAATAAATTTGTAAAAGTAACAATGGGAGGAACCCACTTCAAATAGATTAAATAAGAAAATTCTACTTCAGAACTCTAACCAGAAAATGAGAAATTTCTCTAACTGAACACGAAAAACATCAGCCAAAGTCAGAGACCTTAGTATTTTAGTTCAAGCCTTTATCTCCACAGCTTTAAAGAAACCTTAAAAAATATTTCCCAGTACACATGAGGGTGTTAAAGAAAAGTGCATGACTAGGGAACGAGGACTAAGCTGGAATGTGAACTAAAGAACAAGGACATGTTTCTTTTTTACACCCCTGGTTTCTGGTACAATATGTGGATCAAAGTTACAACACTTAAGCAGCATTTGTTGCTTTAATCTGAACACTGGCAAAATACCCATTTTTACCTTCGGTCCAGTTTGTGCTCCATTTATCCTCTACATTTGAAGTACCTGAGCTGCTCCTGCTTCTGGCCTTTGATCTGAAATTGAGTAAGGTAAACCAATGCACATCTATTTTCCATATCAACCTTTGGTTAGGATCCTCAGAACCACACTGTCACGAGGCTATGAATCTTAAGTGTCCTGATTCTCATGTTTTTAGTAACAGTTACTATCAGTACGCAGAAGTAATGCATTTCAATGTACGATAAAAAAGTTCACGAGTAAAATTGGAATAAAGGCCTTCTTTTTCCACATTTTATTGTTTCGGTTTTTTCAGACAGGGTCTCAGTATGTGGTTCAGACTGACCTGGTACTGTGTCGCTCAGGATGTTCTTGAACTCACAGAGATCTTCCTGCCTCAGCCGCCCGAGTGCTGGGATTACAGGCATGTGCCACCACACCCGGCAAAATTTTCCAATAAACTCCTATTTTTAAAAAAAATTTTTTGGTACCAGGGATCGAATTTGGGTCCTTGTGCTTGCAAGGCAGGCAGCGGCATCACTGAGCTAAATTCCTGGCCCCCTCCACATTTTAAATAACAGACACATAGCATCTTAAATTATGACATAATTAGCAATTTTTAGACAATGAACATAATACACTGTATTACAATGCAATGTGGTAGGCTTCCATTTCAGGAATAAAAATAAATTCCACATGAAAAAGATTTATTTTAATTTACATGAAATACAATTAGAATAAATCTAAATTTTCATCATCAAAGTAGTCAAAAGAAATGAAGAGAACCTTTAGGTGGTATAAGTCTCCATGATGGCCAAAATGCATGTATAAAAAGATCTTTTGCATTACTGATCATCACCTCGTTGCCTTAAATTTCTAGATTTTCCATTTTCCATTTTTCTCTTTTTGAAGATTGGCGCCACTCCATCTGCCACAACTCAGAGCGAAGTGACTGTTTTTTCCTTAAATACCACTTTGGGTTCCACAGCATCAGCCTCAGAAGGTGATACAGACTCATTTCCAGTGCTTGGAAGTTCCAAATCTACCTCCTCGCTAGAACAGAAAGCAAAAATAAAACAATTATTTGACAGAATAAGATACATTTTTGTTTGTTTGTTTTTTGGTACCGGGGATCAAACTTGGGTCCTTCTGCTTGCAAGGCAGGCAGCGGAATAAGACACGTTTGCATGTAACCCATAAGTCACCAAAGCCCCAAGGTCTTCTTTCTAATGATAATAAGGGTGAAAAGTTAGAAGGTGGTCATTCTGCAGTAGTGAACTATTTTAAAATACTTATTTTACAATTTTGTTTAAGATATTCTACTTTTATTAAGGTGGATATGTGCTAGCAAAAAATCATTATCTACTTTTTTTGGTACTGGGAATACCATCTACTTTTTAATTTCTGTGGTACAAGAGACACCACCTCAGAAAATGTTTGCGCTAACAGATGATAAGCGACACAAGCAAAGGACAGATTTTTCAAAACAATTTTTTAAGGGGAGAAACTAATTTTGCCATGGACTGACAGTGACTGTGGAGGCTATAAAACACAGGATGAAAACCATGGACTCTTAATGTACTAGCATAGACGATTCAGTATGGCTATCTACTAAGCATCTTTTTTTTCCAAAAGCTAATTCTTTAACCATCTACATGGGTGACTGGTCCTGAAATCAGTTATCTGATTAACATGGGCCTATGGTATTACCGTACAACCTGGATAGTCCATTGGTCTATGAAAGAGAAAGTGCTGTAAGCTATACACTCCCATCAACTCATCAACAGCAATATTCTTTGTTTTTTTTCCGTACTGGGGATCGAACTTGGGATTGCTTGCAAGCAGGCGGAACCATTGAGCCAAATCCCTGGCCCTCAGTGACATTCTTAAACATGGGCAGAAAAACCATAATGTTCAACTCCCTTTAATGGCTCAGAATGTAGTCTGTTGGGAACGCCATATTATCCTATTTGGAGAAAGGTGTTCTGCAGAGGTACAGAATTAAGCTGGCATGCAGAGAAAAGCAGAGATGGGTAATGGAGAACATAACTTGTTTTGAAAACAGATGCTTTCTAGAACTTTTCCTAATTGTGTTAAAGTGTACATTAAGTACCATTTCTTTTGGTACCGGGGATTAAACACAGGACCTTCAGTTTGTCAGGCAGGCATGGTGCCACTGAGCTAAATCCCTGGCTCTTAAGTACCATTTTTATTTGTCCTACTATCCTGTTTTCCCTTATACTGCCAGCAATGGCACATTGAAAGTCACTAGTATTCAGGAATGGTCATATATGCTTGTATTCCCAGCACTTTGCAAGGATGATGCAGGAAGATTCAAAGTTTTAAGTCCTTCCTAGGCAGTTTAGAGAGACTTAGTCTCAATTTTTTTTTAAAAAGGGCTGGGGATGTAGCTCTGTGCAAAGGCCCCGAGTTATTCAATTCTAAATACTATCAAAAAAAAAAACAAACAAACATAGTAACCACATCACTTGAAGAGGTATTGATTCTTGGCATTTTATTCTTGTAAGAGAGGAAGTTGAGGCTTAGAGAGGGGCCAAATAACCTGGTCAAACAAAACTGTTAAGTAAAGCTTGGATTAAATTCCAGGGCCCACTAACTCCATACCAGTATTCATCTTCCTGTCCCATGTTTCCAAGCAAAATTAAGAAATTCCACTAAGCCAGTAGAGAGTTAGGTCAAGAGTAGCAGGGGTTTTGGTCATTAGACAAATCTATCTCTGTATCACAAATTTCTACTGGGGATTTTTATTAGTACTATATGACTACAGGGCATGTTTACATTCCTTGGAGCTGGTACACCTACATAAAACATCTTAATTCTTTTTGCATCCCCTTTCCCTCCTCTTCTTTCATCACAACCTCCTTCCCCTTTGAGAAAGATCTACCTCCCCACTTCCTAATTCTTTTATTTTGCTATTTATAATTTGTCTCATGTAAGAGAAACCATGCAATATTTAAAGCTGAGTGTCTGATTTCACTTAACATTATGATCTCAAGGTACATCCATTTTCCTACAAGTGACTCAGATTCATCAGGTTTATCTTTCTTTATGACAGAGTAGTACTTCATTTTGTGTAATTGCATTTTCTTTACCACTTATACTGGTTGCTTCCAAAATTTAGCCATTACAAGTTATGCTGCTATAAACAGGGGTATGCATGCATCACTGTAATTAATGTATCTTTAACTCTTTCAGGAAGATACCTATAAGAGGAATAGCTGAGTCAAATGGAATTTCTACTTTTAGTTCAGTGTTGATTTCTAGTGTCGCTCAGATTGTGTCGCTGAGATTGTGTCACTTTTTTTTTTTTTTTTTTTTTTTGGTACTGGGGATCAGGACCTTGTGCTTGAGAGGCAGATGTGGTGCCACTGAGCTCAATCCCCAGCCCATGTGTGATTCTTCTATTCACATCTCCACGCCCTGACCTCAAATACTATGAAGGCAAACCCTTCTTGGTCCTCTGTGATCAGGCTCCTGTTACTCCTTTCCTTTCTACTGCTCACCTGACATGTCAGGCCCCATGGAGGACCTCCATAGTACGTATTCCTTCTGTGGATGCTCTGCAAAAAACACCTTCTTTTTGCTGGAATTTCTAACTGTAAATGTGACATAAACCTAGATCTTTTCTAGTAGGTGGAAAGAGCCTGTTTGAGAAGATCATCAATTCAGAGGAAAGCAGAGCTCAAAGAGAATAAAAGAGACAGATGTGGTGCCTTAATACAGTAATTTTATTTGTTATAAATTTTATTAGAAACAATGCACCCCAGACATTTAAGAATTTTTATAATTTGCAAATGAAAAGAGCACTGCAGCGGATTCTATATACTTCTTACAAAGCTGACAAAGAGAGAATAGTGATCTCTCATCAACTATGCATCCTAATAACTACACTTCAGAGATAAAGAACTATGTTCCTTTTATATTCCACTGTATACACACATAGACAAAAAATTAAGGCTTAGTAATTCAGGTTCTTAGAGTCATTATGGTAATGGTAAGACTATAAGAATAGAAAATTTGCTAGGATTGCAAAAACAGTGTAAGAATATAAACACAAAGGGAAATTTCTGAAGTAGTAATGAGAGTTAAAATAAAAGTATTGTTAAAAAATAATTAAAAGCTCACTACTGATAAGTGTTCAGTGTGTCTAAAGGGATAGAACTTCCAAAATCTCCTCATGAAAAAGGAACTGGTATCCTCTTTCTGGAAAGTAATAGGGTACTGGGTACTAATAATTTAAAATGCTCAAGGGGCCAGGGATATGGCTCAATGGTGCCATGCCTGCCTGGCAAGTACAAGGTCCTAAGTTTGATCCCCACTACTGAACAGCAAATAAACAAACAAAAAAAATGTGTACAGAAAAACAGCCATGTAATTAAGAGTTCATTATTAAAAAATGGGAAAAATAAATCCCATAAAAAAGAATGGTTGAATACAATTAAGATACATCTGAAAGATGAAATACTACATAGCAATCAGGTACTTTATAACATTTTAACGTAGGAGGGCAATATTAATGTAAAATGAGAAAAAGATTAAAAATTGGATAAAATACTTCAAAATATTAGCTTTACCTCTGGGAAAGTGAATGATCTTTATACTTTTCATTTTAAAAACATTTTCTACAGTAAGTATGTACAGCTATGGGGTTTAAGGGGAAAATTTCCTGCAAGTAAATTAGGTTAGCTGAGCATGGTGGTATGTCTATTAAGCCCACCATTTGGGAGGCTGAGGCAGGAGACACAAGTGAGGCTAGTCTCAGCTACATGGTGAGGTCAACACCAGTCTGAACTATACATTGAGTCCCTGTTTGAAAAAAGCAAAAAAGAACCCAAAAATCAAAAATAAAAACACACCCAAAAACTCCAAACAAAAAATAATATGGTCAGAAATAATCTATTGCATAATCAACTACCCAAATAGGCTAAAGTTTACTAAGAATGTCTTCACAGAATAGTCACCACAGGGATATCAAAAATATATCTTTCAACTATGAAGTAAAGGAGATTCTGACATAGTTGGACCAGCTGTTTTAAGTCATGTAAGAGCTCAGTAATGGAGCAGTTTATTATTTCTGTAACTTCAATATACAGAGTCAATATGCTTATTTTAGTAACTGGTATTATGTAGCATTTATACGTATTTTCCAGTACTTCATGAACATAAATACAATTTAAACATTTCATCATAATATGCCAAACCAGGCAATCAATTATAATTGGATATAGAGTTATTTGATGTTTGTATGGTCTATTTTAGGAAAAATACGATCTTTCCATTATGGTTTTAACAATAATTTCACTGTAAAAGTATATGCAAAGCAGTCACCCTACATTACCACTTAAATTCTGTAACGTTTTAAAGAATAACTGCTTTACTTATGTTGATCCTTTCTCCCCACCAGAAGGGTTTCTTAAGCATTGAAGAAACACTGAAATCTAAAACTGGGAGTGACATCTTCCTTTCATGGTATAGATGATTTGAATAAATAAACTAATAATATAGATTAGGTAACATCTTTATCAAGATTTCATTTAACTGATAGCAAATTTGTTTTTTGGATATTGCCTAAAAAGGTTAGTGAGCCACTTTCCCTTCCAAGTACTAACCAGGCACGACCCTGTTCAGCTTAACGAGATCAGACAAGATTGGGTACATTCAGGGTGATATGGCCATAGACTAGTGAGCCACTTTCAAGAAAATAAACCATGGCTGGGCATGGTGGTGCATGCCTGTAATTCCAGCACTCCAGAGGCGGAGGCAGGAGGACTCCTGGGAGTTCAAGGTCAGCCTGGGCTACACAGTGAGTTCAAGGCCAGTCCAAACTATATACACAGTGAGACCCTGACTCAAAATACAAAAAAAAAAAAAAAAATTAAAAAAGCAAAACCTTTGTCTTTAGATATGATATATGTAAACATCCTGCCAAGTATCTATCGACTACGAAGTTATTTTTCTGATAGAATGAGAGTAAGACCGCACATATTCATGGTGAGTATGAGAATATGTTCAAAATGTCAACTTTTGACTACAGTATTCTGAAAAAGGATGTCAAAGAGGATATCAGGAAATGAAAATATATACTTGTCATGCTTGGCTTAAGTGAGATCTTCACAAGCAAACGGGCCACTTTCAGCAAATGACAGGCTATTCCTCAGTAAACAGAAGACAATCTTCCCAGTGCCGTAAAAGTCCAGTGATTGTCTACACACCTGTGCTGACTGTCCTTGGGCTTAATTATAAACACTTCACCCCCAGATTCCTTAGCCCCTTCAATGCCTAAGCTTAGTTCGTTTCCCAGGTAGTGACTACTATCTCTCTCTCCTAATGTCTGCCTATCCACAAATGGATGTAATAAACTTGGCTTTTCCCAGCTAGCTGCTACAATCTATCCTTGATTTTGGTCGCTGATTTTATTTATTTTTTTAAGCCTCGTTGGTATAAGCAACACACATTTAAGAAAGTATTTATTTTTAAAAAATAAGATAATTCTGTGACGTGAATTAGAATGCTAAGCTTTTGGTAAATGAGTTATATAAAAATGAGGTTTGGTCCCTGATTTTAGTCTGATTACTGGAATAAACTTTTCTTTCAAAAGCCCATTTAAAGAAGTAGTTTCATGTGTGCTGTCTATAGAAATACTCTGTTATGTAGACCCATATCTCCCACCATGTCCTAAAAGAAAATCACAAATGAACCAATCAAAGATCCAAATTTTAAAATAGAAACTATCTGCTAGACAATAAAATCGTTTTTGTAAACCTCCTGAGGACACAGATGCAGGCAAAAACTTTCTGAACAGAATCCCAGTTGCAGAAGAAGTAACATCAAGAATCAATAAATGGAATCATATCCTATTAAGAAGATCCTGCATAGCTAAAGACACCAAGAGTAAACAGATAACCTACAGAATGGAAAGAAGTTTTGCCAGCTATCCCTTAGACACAAGACTAATTTTTTACAATATATGAAGAACTAAAGAAGAAAATGACACCCCCAAAATAAAAGACCTAGTTAAAAAATAGGCAACTAAAATGAACAGACATGTCTCTGAAGCACTAGTACAAATGGCCAATAAATATCATGAAAATGTTATTACTGGCCATTAGAGAAATACACATTAAAATATCACTGAGATTCCACATTACTCCACAAAGAATGACTATCATCAAGAACACAAATACTGGCAAGACTTCAAGGAAAAAGGAATCCTTCTACATTGTTGATGGGAATGTAAGCTAGTACCGTCACTATGGAAATCAGTACGGAGATTCCTCAAAAAGCTAAAAATGGAAATTTCATTTGACCCAGATGTTTCCCTTCTAGGTATCTCCCCAAAAGAGCTAAAGACACCATATTATAAGGATACATGCATACTCATGTTCATAGTAAAACTACTCATAATAGCTTAATCTTAGGAAGTGGCCTATGTGGTTTTATAATACTATGAATACTACTGTGCCATAAAGAGTCACCTGTAGGAAAACAGATGCACTTTGAGACCATGTTAAGTGCATGAGAAACAAATTATAAAGAGATAAATAAAACATGGTAGGATACAGGGAAAAAGATATTTTAAAATTAATTTTTGGTACATTTAAGGTATACAATGTAACGACATTCATCATTGGAAAGTTGCACCTTTACATAATCTGTCTTGGTTCTTATTTTTCCCCCATTCCCTTGCCCTCCCTCCAAACCCTCCATCCCTATCTGGGAGGGGGAGGGCAAAGAAGGGAATGGAATTAATATGGGAGACAGATCATTTGCAAAAGGAAAGAGGACTAAGAGATAGAAGAGGGGAAGGAGTGGAGGAAGGAAATGAAAAAATAATTAAGATGTGTTATATATATGTACTAATTTCCCAGGAGGAATGTAATCATTATGTACTGCAAACATATGCCAATAAAAATTTATCAAAAAAGTCAAGTTTTCATAGGAATTAGGCTTACCTTAGCTTAATTGTAGTAAATCATAAGCTTACTTTTCAAAGTAATCTTTTAAAAATATTTAATTATAAAAAAATAAAAAAACACTCTAGAAATACAAGAAAATTATTATTTTACTGAGCATAACATCCTTGAAATCAGTGGTTACAAGTTGTGAAAGAACTGCGGTGTAAAGTGGGTCCCTTGACTAACAAACTCTATTTGTGAGGGCCAATTCTAACTCAAGTTGGTCAACTGCCTTTAAAATCTCTCTCCTGTCTAATTTTAGGCCAGTTTGTTCCACACAGATCTCAGTGTCATTAGAGAGACATTGGCCCAGGATCTCTCGATTAACCCCACACAGGAAAGGATGCTGTATTGTTCCTTTCAGAACTCTTTAAGGGATAAATGTATATCTGAGACCATGTGGAAGCACAATGGGCTGGCATTTGGGTTGTAACTAAAAACTCTGGTCATTAAAACTAAAATTCTGGACCTAATCCAAGTTGTTCATATGTCAGGCTAATTGTAATTCGAGGGTCCATGGTATAATCTTTGTAATAACAGTAGATTAAAATTTCAAGTACTCACTCATTCTCAACTTCTTGCTTAATTTCTTGCCATTCTCCATATGGGTTTGATTTTTTCAAAGTTTTGGATTTTTCTTCATTTAGGCCTGATGAAGTCTGTTTTGGGACACTTTTTTCTTTCTATTTTTGGAACAGTTCCTTCATTGCTATTTTTACTTTTCCCTTGAGATATCTGTACAGTAGAAGAATTTTAATACTTGATTAGGTTTTTTATTACATCTAAAATATTAATTCACTATATCCAATGCTGTTTATTTTAAAATAATATAACAAGATCCTGTTAATGTTGAGTTGTACAATTAAGGACATGTAAATATGCAAGCTATTTTTTTGTTTTCTTTCTTTTTCTTATTTTGGTACTGGGGATCGAACTTGGGACCTTGCACTTGCGAGGAAGGTGGCGGCATCACTGAGCTAAAACCCTGGCCCGCTATTTTTCTGTTTTCTTATCCCAATTACATATTCAACAGTGACTTCTCTCTACAGTGCACCTCTTTTGTATTTGATGGCATATCATCAGACCCTTCAACAGCTATTACTATTTTAAAGAACTCCTTGTACCTGTTAGTCTTAACTGAAATCCACTTTCAGGACACCACCAACACCTCACTGGCCTATACAACTACATCTTTGTGCAAATTAGAAAGACATTCCCTGGGAAAGAAGCAACCCCATACAAGTACCTGAGTAGGGCAGGTACTTTATGGCATCTGTTCATCTGGAATAAAAAACACTTGTAACCCAGATCAGCAAGTGGACCACAAAGTGGATTTAAATGTCTCTGTAAACTGTACAACAATAAGTAGTTGGCCTGGGATAGTTTCTTTTGTAATTGTGTTTTTTCCTCAGTACTGGGGATCAAACTCAGGATCTTGTGCTTGCCAGGCAGGTGTGGCACCACTGAGCTTATTATGTGAATGGATGTTAGCTTGGCTGTCATGCGGCTGGTATCACAGAACTAGGGGGTGGCATCCACTTTGTCAGCTTCCAGGACATGACTTTCTTAATAAAACATTTTTACTGAGGTACAAGTTCATGATACTTTGACTCAAATCTTTATGCATTAAAGATCTCTGATAATCGTACCACTTTCTGTACTGTTCTCCTTTCTTGCATGACCAATGACCTCTGGCCACTACTCTATATTCACTGATGATTCTGGCAACACCGGTACAATTTTTCTTCCTATTCAAACTCCTGCTATCATCGTTAGGAAGCTTAAAAATTACCTGGCTTTAGTTTTGTCAGCCTCAAAAGCAATGACTTTGGCCCTCATTATGCTTCAGCCATCTAGTACAAGTCTTCTCATATACAGCATCAGGCACATAGCAAGCACTATGATATTAAATCCTTACACCCTACATTTTTAGAAATTTGAACTAGGTCAGCACTGGAAATGTCCTATCCATGAAATCTTAAAAACCAAAGTCCTTCCTCTAAGTATAGTAGTTCTTAATTCTTTTGGCTTTCTGACTCCCTTACTCCTATACCTCTTATCCAACCCCATTGCCATCTGTAATACTTTTAATTTCTCCTTGTGTTTTGAGTTTGTTGGTCTCTAGACTACAACCTTCCAAAAGGAATCACCTTTAAGCATTCCTTTGCTACTATCCTAAAAAGTATTTGTCTGAAGCCTGTCTATTGCATAGGACCAAAACACTTTGAACCACAGACTTATCCAATCATTTGTGCTTGAAGTTTAATCTGTCAAGCATTTAAAAAGGAAAAAATAGACTTTCAAACTTACAAAGCCTAAAATGAAATTAGTATCTTATTTCTCAGTAAACAGTACAACCATTTATCCAGCTGCCAAAATAAGACAGGCCCTCTTATCTTTGTGGGTTTTTTTTTTGGTACCGGTTATTGAATTCTGGCCCTTGAGCTTGCAAGGAAAGGAACCGCTGAGCCAAATCCCAGGCCCAGGCTGCTCTTATCTTTGAGGATATATAAAATCCCCAGTTGATGCCCAAAACCACATAGTACTGAACCCTACAGATACTGCATTTTTTCCTATACATACATCCCTATGATAAAGTTCAAGTTAAAAATCAGGCACAGTAAGAGATTTACAATGTTAATAAAATAGAAAAATTATAAATAAGAGATTTCATCACACTACTAAGAAAAGCAGGTAATTTAAAATGATTTAAAATCCCCAGTTGATGCCCAAAACCACATAGTACTGAACCCTACAGATACTGCATTTTTTCCTATACATACATCCCTATGATAAAGTTCAAGTTAAAAATCAGGCACAGTAAGAGATTTACAATGTTAATAAAATAGAAAAATTATAAATAAGAGATTTCATCACACTACTAAGAAAAGCAGGTAATTTAAAATGATTTATGATTTT